TCATCACATCACATCATCATCATCATCATCATCATCATCATCATCATCATCATCATCATCATCATCATCATCATCATCATCATCATCATCATCATCATCATCATCATTATCCTCATCCTCTTCGTCCGCCTAACCTTGCAGCTTCGCCATCGCATTCGTCGTCGCAGCCTCGAGGCTACTGGCTGCCCTCACGGCCACGAAGGCGCCACGCTGCGAAGGCCGCTGTCGCATCGGGGCGGCGATTCCTCTTCCGTCCTCCCTCTCCCCATCCCTCCGCCTCGCCGTCTTTCTCCCTCCTCCGGTCCCATCCCCCTCCTGTTCGTGAGATCGGCTGGCTCGTGCCGTGAAGACTCACGCGTTGGATCCCAGAACCTCGAACCACCTCGAACCCTCGGGGCTCGTCACCTCGTACCTCCTCGTGGATCGTTCCATCTCGATCCATCTCGAACCACCTCGAACCACCTCGAACCCTCGGGGCTCGTCACCTCGTACCTCCTCGTACGTCCTCGTTGGATCCTGGAACCTCGAACCACCTCGAACCTCCTCGTGGATCGTTCCACCTCGAACCCCCGGGGCTGTCCGGCAGCGCAGATCGTTCCATGTCGGCCGACTCTGGGCCGTTGGCCCCGCCCGCGCCAGGGTCCCCGCCGCGTCAACGAGGCGGTCTGGCCCACGGCACGGTCGGGCCTGGTTGCCGCGGACACCCAAGAGGACACAGCATACAGGGCAGTTGTTTATACATCGAGATTTTTGAATAATATAGGATTTCTACTACATGCTTAATTTACCAATCAATCAACGCATACATTCATCATTGCTTTTAATACGAAACCCCTTTATGTTTAATACATGATCCGCACGCGGAGCATGTATTCAAAAAGCACTGCATTGCGAGAGCAACCTGTGCCCTAGACTCAGAAAGCCCAGGGTTCGCTAGGGACTGGTTTCCTCGCGAAAAGAGGAAAATCCTTCCGCAAGCCCTCCCGGAATTCTTCCCGGAGGGTTTTCGGAGGGTTTCGGGAGGGTTTCGGCTGTTTTGCAAGGAAACGAGTCCCTGGCGAACCCCGGACTCCCTAACCCTAGACGTGAAGTGGAAATGAGACGCAACCTGTAGGCAGCACACGAGGGTGTATGCCGTTGACCCTGCACGGCCGACCTACGAATCAGCGGCGAGCCGAAGGGGGAAAGCGAGAGAGGGGGCAGCCCTGCTCAGAAGGCTATACGGGGCTTCTCAGAGGCCCCCCAACCCTCTGAGAAGACCTCTGCGGCCTCGGAAACGGCTCCAAGTCAACAAAGACAGCTTGCGCTCTTGCCATCGCCCGGACGTCCATTCTCGTTGCACGTTTCGGTATCGTGCGTATTCTTTTCGGGGCTCGATGATCCAAGACGCTCCTCGAGGGTCCTCGCCGAGGAGAAAAATGCACACGCAAGAGCGATGCCAGGCGATGCATAGCTGGCTGTGGGCAGAAGTCTGGGAGCTCCCGGGCAGGAGAGCCCAAAATCGAATCGATAAGTCGGATCGGCGATCGAAATGGGTCGGATCGGCGGAAATCGGCAGCCGATTCGATAGAAGTCGAATCGACGGACATCGGCAGGCCAGTAGGCCTCCTGTGAGCAATCGGAGCCGCAATCGGAGTCCGGAGTCGAATCGCATCGGAATCGGAAGCCACCGAAATTTAAGCGAATCGAATCTCGGGGGCGGCCGAGAGAGGGGGGTGTCCAAGAGGGAGGGGGGGCGCAAAGCATGGCCGGCGGCACGTGCGCGGCCCAGGGCGGGGCCCGGGGACGTATGGAAATACGAGGAGGCGCCGTGAAGTCTGAGGAAACAGCATGGCCCACGCCATGAGATCCAGCCCCTCCTAGTCATCACCCCCCTCTCGGCCGCCCCCGAGAAGCGGAGGAATCGAGATCGGCGACTACAGTGAGTGCGGTCTGCGAAGGGTGCGGTTTGCCTCCCGTCATTGTCATATCTGCCCCTGCCGCCCCCAGGAAACGGACGACACTGTCACTTAATGCGACCGGATCACATTACACTGTCGCTCCTTCTAGCACAGTGGAGCACACATCGAGGATGACAGCGTCGCTCGAAACGACGACAGTTGTGACATTGTCTCTCTCACAAAGGCCCTGGAAAGGCCGCCACAAAGCAACTCGCAAGCCGCACCCCGGCGTAACCGCACCAATTGTAATCGCCGACGAGAGGAGCCCCTTCTTGGCCCCGTGAGCGCCTCCGTGCCCCAGGAGGGCAAAAGGAACAGCACTGGAGGAACCTCAGGAACATCGAGCCCCCTCCGAACCCAAACCGTTCCTTGTTTCAGCATCTGGACTGTAGCCATCACCCCCCTCGTGGCCGCCCCCGAGAAGCGGAGGGATCGAGAGGAGCCCCGGTGGGGGCAGGAGTCCGGGGCCTCCCAAGAGAGGGGCCCGTGGCCCGAGCTCCGGGCATGCCGAGCTCCCTGGGCCCGAGAGCCCACCCCCCTGCCCTCCGGGGGGGGGGGGGAGGAGGAGGAGGAGGAGGAGGAGGAGGAGGAGGAGGAGGAGGAGGAGGAGGGGGGAGGAGGAGGGAGGAGGAGGAGGAGGAGGAGGAGGAGGAGGAGGAGGAGGAGGAGAGGAGGAGGAGAGAGGAGGAGGAGGAAGAGGAGGGAGGAGGAGGAGAGAGGAGGAGGAGGAGGAGGAGGAGAGGAGGAGGAGGGGAGCCAGGAGGTGGAGGGGGGCCGCTCCGCTCGCCCTGCCCCCCCAACCCTCGTAGGAGAGCGACGACGGGATCGACGTGCAGTGGAGGCCAGTCCACAAGAAACCGTCCACCAAGAAGCCCAACCCTGAGGCCCCAGGACGTCCATTCGTGTTTGGTGTGGGAACGTCGTGCTTTCCATCGAAGACCCATCGAAACCCAAGAAACCCAGGGCACCCTGGAGGCAAGCGGGATGTTGCTTGGCATGGGTCTCCACTGTACCCCAGAATTGAACAGGGCTCAGCCTAAACAGTGCTTCCCGTTTTCGTGTTGGTTTCGTCTTCTCTCGCCCCATCTTCGTTCCGCCTCTGCTGCAAAACGAGATCGAAAAGAAAGCGGCCCACGAGGTCGCCCAAACACCGTGTAGGTCCAGCCCTGGAGTTGAATATGTTGCCGGACATCCACGAGCATTCAACCTGTTCCTTGCAGATTCGACCAAAAAAGCAAGCTTCGGGCAGATCGACTCTGCAGTCGATCTCCTACTCGAAGCCTTTGACCCCCTCCCGAGCAAGCTGGGTGACGGAGGGGCGACGAAGCCGGCTGCTCGCAGCAGTGACCCCGGGCAGGAGTGGCCTTCGCTGCGCGGCTCACCGCCCGTTGGGTGCTCGGTGCGACGGCAGCGGCCCGCGCGCCCGGGCCTGCACGCCGCCGCCCAAGGGACAGCCGCGCACCCAGAGGCCTCTCCAGCGCAGGGTCTCACCCGATCGAGCAGCCGACGCACGCGGCCAGAGGCCCTCGCTGTCACCTGTCACCTGGCCCGCGGGCGACGACGACGACGACGACGACGACAACGACGACGACGACGACGACAAGGCAAGGACGCGGGGCGGCGGGACCCCAGCGGCCTGCAGGCGACAGCCATGGCAGCGGCATCCCCAGCGGCGGGCACCCGGCGGCGCCGACGACGGCGGCGGCAGCGGCAGCGGCAGCGGGCTCCTCACCACCTTCTCGGCCTCCTCCCTCTCGGCCTCGGTCGCCTCTGACGGCCGTGTCGACTCGTCGTCCTGTTGCCCGGCGGTGGCGCGGGAAAGGCGAACAAGAAGTGCGTCCCGGTATACCACTGGCAAGAAGAAAAGCTAGATCACATCATACAGATCACAGGTTTGAGATTGTCAGTTGTTGTCTTGTGCGGACGGCTCAGAGGGGGGCGTCCAAGAGGGGGGGCGCAAATCGTGGCCGGCGGCACGTGCGCGGTCCAAGGGGGGGGGGACGCCATGAAAAAAGAGGCGGCGCCATGAAGTCGGGGGAGATCTCATGGCCCCCGCCATGATATCCACCTCCCCCCTCGTCAACACCCCCCTCTTGGCCGCCCCCGACGAAGGTCAGGGCGGCCTCCCATGCCAGTCTGCTCTCCGAGCCTGGGACGTCGCCGACGACGTCGGCGGCCCGGCTCTGCAGAGTGGGCTGCCTCGGGGCCCACTTGGGGCACAGGCCTCTACGCCACGAATATCTACACATATATATATATATATATATATATATACACATATATATATACACATGCATACATACATACATACATGCATGCATGCATGCATGCAGACAGACAGACAGACAGACAGGCAGACAGACACATACATACATACATATATACATACATACATACATACATACATACATACATACATACATACATACATACATACATACATACATATACATGTACACACATAGACATATACATGATACCTTATGCACATATATGTACGTATAAATAATAACCGGAAATGCAAACATATATGAAGACAAACCCATAATAAATCATATATATATATAAACAAATGCATACATATGTCCACATGCAGACTAATAATAACATTGCTCATGATAATAAGAATAACACTGTTAAATATACAACACATACGAATGATACCGATTATAAAAACAATGGTACTGATACGAATAATAATGACAGTATCAAGAACAACAACACATATAAGACGAATGATAACAATGACAAAGACAATAACGTAGATGATGTACACAGACACCCTCCGACGAGTGTACCTTCAGGGAGGGGACGGTGTATAAAGTCGCTGGCTCCGAGTGGTTATTTATACACCGCCACCCTCCCCTGAGTCCCAGGAGCACTCCAGTGGAGGGCGTCTGTGTATATTTGTTTTGTGGCGGAGCCTCTTGGCTCGCCGCATATCCGCCCAGATGCACGAAGAGCGCCCGCGGACTACCCCGAGAAAGGGCCTCCGCGGACACGAGCTCCCCCCGAGACGAAGGTTCTTCGTACTCCAAGAATTTTGATGGTGGGCATGTTTTCCTCTGCCACCACCATAAGTAGGAGGGGAGGGGGTCCTCCTCCTCCTCTTCTTCCTCCTCCTTATCCTCCACCTCCTTTTCCCCCCTCCAAATGATGGTGGTGGTGGTGGCAAACAGGCCCATCTTTGGACTGCCTAGAGAAAGAAAAACAGCATAAGCAGAAACTTCCGGAGCTTAGTACGGATTTCTGGGATCGGCGCTGGAGCCCCTCCGTGGCGCGCGGAGCGCGCCAGGGATGGCGCCGGAGGCGCCGCCGGGAGGGTCCAGCACCGATCAAATAAAGACGCGACAGCATCGGAAAGTTGATGTACATGCAATATGTTCTGTGTCTTCAGGTTATGGTTCGTAGTACTCTTCGACGGACGCGTGGGTAGGGGCGCCAGGAGACAAGGAAGGAGGTTGCGAAGAAAACGTGTTAAGAGGGCGGGGGTGGTGGTGGTAGTGGTGATGATGGTGGACAGGTACCGTGGCATGGCAGCCAATGCGTGCTCGAGGATGACTCTCGTACGGAGAGCCTCAGAGGAGCATATAAGCAGGCCTCGATAGATTGCACCCACATACATAAGCACACACACACACATACACGCAGACGAGCAATATCAGCACCCATCGGTCGGAAGAAGTAGGTAGAAACATGAAGTAGGAAGGCGTGGAAAATAGATTGGGTGTCCGCCCGCCCCCTAAAGAGGACGGAAAAAGTGAAACCACTTGATCATTGAAGTGGGAAGGCGCTTAAAGTAGGTTGGAATCTGGAAATCTAAAGATACCTACTTTCAACGACCGATGGGTACGCGAACCTTCCTTCTGGAGGATGGAAGTAAAAGTGTCGCGTCAGGGAGCGCGACGCCCACGGAGACCCCCCCCTGGGCGATCGACACTCTACCCATGCCCCTGCTTACGCCACGATCCCACAGGGAGGCAGAGCGGGGGCATGGACACATTTCTGGTCTCTAGGGCCACGTTCTTTACCCATTCCCTGCCTCCTCTGGTGCCCAGAGTTGGGGGCAGCAGCAGCAGGGTATGGATCGAGCGTCGATGTTAGACCCCGCCCCCGAGCGATCTCCCGGTGGCATTGCCACGAGCCCGTTTCTTCTCGCTCGCGATCACGCCCGTGATCAGCCACTTGTCTGAAAGAAGTGCAACAGCTTGAAGCGCTTGTATTGTTGAAGTCCCAGGAACGACGATCTGGTACGATTTCGGACTGTGTTCTGGCACAACTCAGGACTGCCACGTCGAAACAGTCGCGTCGATTCGCGGCGCTGAAGTCCCAAGAATGATTCTCAAGCGATTATCTTCCAACGGGGAACTTTCCACAGTAAGAGTACATTACTGTGGAGACCTATGGCTTAACCAATGACCTAAGAACAAGGAACTTCTTGGGAAGGGTATATTGCAACATCGTTGACGCGCCTTGAGTTTACACTGGTCCTCCTCCTCCCCCTCCTCCTCCTCCTCCTCCTCATCATCACCATCACCCTCGGCTATCACCATAATCATCATCATCAGCATCATCATCATCATCATCATCATCATCAGCATCATCATCATCACAATCATCATCATCATCATCATCATCATCATCATCATCATCATCATCATCATCATCATCATAATCATCATCATCAGCATCATCATCAGCATCATCATCATCATCAGCATCATCCTCCTCATCATCATCATGACCATCATCATCATCATCATCATCAGCAGCAGCATCAGCATCAGCATCATCATGATCAGCATCATCATACGGTGGGCGCAGTGGACAAGGAACCCTTAGATAAGGAATCCAGGGTCTGGAGGCCTGTGGAACTCCAATCGTGGATCGGCCAAGGGTATCACCACCGCCCTAATCAGATAAGTAATCCTCCAGGGTCTGCAGCCTCCTGGACACATTACTTAATCGACGCCCCCGCCGTAAGAATCATCATCATCATCAGCATCATCATCAGCATCATCATCATCATCACCACCACCAGCATCTTCATATCATCGTCATCAATATCATCAGTACCGCGGCCATCATCACCATCACAACAACCATCATCAGCATCACAATGATCAAGATCATCAGAATCATCAGCATTAGCACACTCATCATCATCACCATCATCATCAGCAGCATCTGCATCATCATCGTCGTTATAAGCATCATCTTCATCATCGTCAGCGTAATCAGCATCACCATCATCATCATCGCCATCGCTGACATCATCATCAGTGTCATCATTATCATCATCAGCATCATCATCATCATCATCATCATCATCATCGTCATCATCATCATCATCATCAGCATCATCATCATCATCATCATCATCATCATCATCATCATCATCTCATCATCCTCATCATCAGTATCAGCATCATCAACATCAGCATCATCATCGTTGTCGGCAACATCATGCACCCTCGTCATCGTCACCACCACCGTCATCATCATCATCATCATCAGCAGCAGCAGCATCGTCATCATCATAATCAGAATCGTCATCAGTATCATCATCAGCAGGAGCATCACCATCAGCATCATCACCACCGTCGTCGTCATTTGCTGCAGCAGCAGCAACAGCAGCAGCAGTATCCCCCTCCACATCATCCACCGTCATGATCATCAGCATCAGCATCACCATCATCATCATCATCAGCATCATCAGCAGCATTATCATCAGCATCACCAGCATCATCAGCATGATTATCATAATCATCATCCACATCAGCATCAGCATCATCATCGTCGTCACCATCATCGTCATCATCACAGCAGCAGCAGCAGTATCACCATCATCATCATGATCAGCATCATCATCATCAGCAGCATGCTCCGCATCATCATCATCATCATCATCATCATCATCAGCAGCAGCAGCATCATCATCATCATCAGCAGCATCATCATCAGTTTCCTCATGATCAGAAGCAGCAGCGTCCCCATCCTCATCCCCCGCCCTTTCCATCTCCTCCTCCTCATCCTCCTCCTGCTGCTGCTTCTCCTCCTCATCCTTCTCTTCCTCCTCCTTCTCCGTTTCCTCCTCCTCCTCCGTGACATCCTGCTCCTCCTCCTCCTCCTCGCCCCCCTCCTTGTCCTCCTCCTCCTCCTCCTCCTCCTCCTCCTCCTCCTCCCCCTCCTCCTCCTATCCTATTCCTTTTTTATAAACTCTTACTCCCCTATCTGGCCGGCCGACAGCGAAATGCGTAGCAGGAGCGAGACGCGGCGCACATCTGGCGCGGACGTCTGGGGCAACCCCAAGCGGGAGCGGTCATCCGACCTATAAAAAAACTAGTACATACAAAGTCGACATGTTTCTTCTCCACGAGGACTTTCTTGTCGTCGGCTTTGCGAAATGCGTGGCAGGAATGGGGCGCGGTGCACATCGCGCGCGACAAGGCAAAATGTCGCTCCCGCTTCGGCACCGCGCGCATGTTTTCTGAAAGTTGCACTCCCGCTAAGGTGCAGAGCACGTTTGTCGCTCGCCAATTCGTCGAGCGCCTAGGGCCCCCTGGGGCCTCCCAGGGTCTCCTGGAACATCCTGGGGCTTCCCGGGGCTTCCCCAGGGCCTCATGGATCCTCCTGGGGCCTCCTGAAGCTTCCTGGGGGTTCCTGGGAGTCCCCGGGGCTTCCTGACACCTCCGAGGGCTTCCTGGAGCCTCCTGGAACCTCCCGGGGCTTCCTGGGCCCTCCTGAAGCCTCCTGGGGCTTCATGGTGTTCGCTAGGGCTTCCTGCAACCTCCTAGGGCCTCCTGAGGCCTCCTGGGGCCTCCTGAGGCTTCCTGGGGCCTCC